TCCCAACCCCAAAAAAAAATTTAAGTTTGTTTTTAAAAAATATTTTCAACTTCAAAACTTCAATTTTTCACCCCTACCCTCAACCCACCCCTCCACCCCACCCCCAAAAAAAATAAAGTTTGTTTTTAAAAAATAAATTTTTATTTTTTTTACCCCATCTTACCCCTACCCCCGCGCGCCAAGCCCCACCACCCCACCCAACCCAAAAAAAATTTAAGTTTATTTTTAAAAAATATTTTCAATTTCAATTCAAAAATTATTTTCTACTCTCTAGTAAAAATAAAAGATATTTTCTCAAAAATAAATTTCATTCATAAATCACACTAAAAAATCTTTTTCAGAAAATATTTTATAGTCACCAACCAAACAAGAGAAAATAAGTAAAAAATCTACTTGTTTTCCAGGAAAACATTTTCCTTCATACCAAACACACCCTTAAAGTTCTTATTTCTTTGCCTATTAGTCTACGAGGTAGATGTAAGGTACATCCTACCTGTTCAGACCTCACTTTTGGAATTACATCGGATATATTAAAGACCAATATTAAGATACATCCTACTCTGATCAGACACACCGGATATGTTGAAAATGAAACATGTGCAAATTTAAAAAGCTAGATCGTATCTACTATAGTTTACTTTTTGAATTATGACAATACACTCGACCCCTATTTTCCTTTGCAGCGAAGACTTGAGTAGGGATAGATAGACACGAGGGTGGTGACATCTTATTGCTGACAATACATTATTAACTTTGTAAAATGTTGTCCTCTTCTTTAATTTCACTTGTGGGGTGCAGCAATGGATAATTAATTTTTCTATTGTCAAGTGGGACCATTACCAAAGACTTAAATTAAATGCCTTTGCCTTTTGTCTCCTTTATGAGTACAATTTTTCTCCTTCTAAAATTAACCAACTTTAATTTGAAGGATATATCTGCTAGAATTAGTCAAAACGGTTCACTTATTTTAATTTATTTCAGACTTCTAAACGGCTCTAGCCTTGGTGCGTTTTAAGTACGCTATATTATATTCCAATTTTCCCCAATTCCGAAACTACCCTCGTTAATTAGCCCGAAAAGACGAAAAAGCCCAGACACCAAGCGACGCGATTGGTGGGATGTAACATATTGTAGAATCACACGGTCACACCGAATCACTAATGCCACGTCATCTGAGTAGTTCAAGTCCACGTGTCATAGAGCAAAAAGAAACAAATGGCCCCACACCGAACCCTTTAAAAACTCTTTATAGAGCCCTTAGAAGCGCCAAAAAACACACATTACAACACCCTACCACCACCACCACTCTCTCCCTCTAAAACCTTTCTCTTTCTCTCTCTAAAAAAAATTCACTTTTGAAATTTTTTTGCCGATCAGATACGATTCTTCACCGGTAAGAATTCTTATGAACCCACCGGAGAATTCATACAGATTTAAATCTTTATACATTAATTTGAATCTTTTATCGTTGGTATAACTGCAAGTTCTTGAATAAATCTTTTGTTTTAATTTTAAAAAAATTAATAAAATTGGTTCGGTTGGGTGTGTAATTAATGTGGTTTGAATACTTTTCTTTCTGATCATATTTGATGGTATAGACAGAGTAGTACTGTTTGGATTGTTGAACTTTTCCGTTGTTAGATTCTTGTAACAATCGCAAGGAGGAATTTATGGTGGGGGTATCGGTTTTCCTCCATTTTCTAGGTTTTCTGCGAAATGACATTTAGGGTTTATGACGCACAAGGGTAGGGAATAGAGACGATTGTTTGTTGTGCTTACTGGGTAGAATTCTTTTTCTGTTGTGTTGGTTTGATTTCCTTGTTTTTGTTTATTTTGGGCATAGTGGGATCACATTAAGTGTAGTTTACTGTTCTAAGTAGTTAACCTTTTAGTTTTGGTGATCGGTGTATGAGAAAGTTGCCTTTGCGTATATCTCATATTGGAAGTATATGAAAAGAGATTTTAATAGGCCTTTAAATGAAAATGGCGCGAAGAATTTGGCGCGCATATTGGGATCACATTAAGTGTAGTCTACTGTTCTAAGTAGTTAACCTTTTAGTTTCGGTGATTGGTGTATGAGAAAGTCGTCTTTGCGTAATTTTGGAAGTATATGAAAGGAGATTTTAATATGCCTTTAAATGAAAATGGCGCGAAGAATTTGGCGCGCATATTGGGATCACATTAAGTGTAGTCTACTGTTCTAAGTAGTTAATCTTTTAGTTTCGGTGATTGGTGTATGAGAAAGTCGTCTTTGCGTAATTTTGGAAGTATATGAAAGGAGATTTTAATATGCCTTTAAATGAAAATGGCGCGAAGAATTTGGCGCGCATAGTGGGATCACATTAAGTGTAGTCTACTGTTCTAAGTAGTTAACCTTTTAGTTTTGGTGATCGGTGTATGAGAAAGTTGCCTTTGCGTATATCTCATATTGGAAGTATATGAAAAGAGATTTTAATAGGCCTTTAAATGAAAATGGCGCGAAGAATTTGGCGCGCATAGTGGGATCACATTAAGTGTAGTCTACTGTTCTAAGTAGTTAACCTTTTAGTTTCGGTGATCGGTGTATGAGAAAGTCGCCTTTGCGCATATCTCATATTGGAAGTATATGAAAGGAGATTTTAATAGGCCTTTAAACGAAAATGGCGCGAAGAATTTGGCGCGCATAATAGGATCCTATTAAGTGTAGTCTACCGTTCTAAGTAGTTAACCTTTTAGTTTGGTGATTGGTGTATGAGAAAGTCGTCTTTGCGTATATCTTATTTTGGAAGTATATGAAAGGAGATTTTAATAGGCCTTGACATATGAAAATGGCGCGAAGAATTTGGCGTGTCCCCTTTTTGCAGCTTTTCATATAGAAATGTGTGTTGTAATTTCATTTTTTTGTGTATTCTCAGCCTGTTCTTCTTGTTTTAGAGACGATTGTGTGTTTACTGGGTAGCGATTATCTCTGTTGTGTCGGTTTGATTTCCTTGTTTTGCTTATTTGGGGCCTAGTGGGATCACATTAAGTGTAGTCTACTGCTCTTAAGTAGTGAACCTTTTAGTTTCGGTGATCGGCATATGAGAAAGTCATCTTTGCGTATCTCATTTTGGAAGTATATGAAAGGATTTTTTAATAAGTCTTGACAAATGAAAATGGCGCGAAGAATTTGGCGCGCATAATAGGATCCTATTAAGTGTAGTCTACCGTTCTAAGTAGTTAACCTTTTAGTTTTGGTGATTGGTGTATGAGAAAGTCGTCTTTGCGTATATCTCATTTGGAAGTATATGAACGGAGATTTTAATAGGCCTTGACAAATGAAAATGGCGCGAAGAATTTGGCGCGTCCCCTTTTTTGCAGCCTTTCATATAGAAATGTGTGTTGTAATTTCATTTTTTGTGTATTCTCAGCCTGTTCTTGTTTTAGAGACGATTGTGGGTTTACTGGGTAGCGATTTTTTCTGTTGTGTTGGTTTGATTTCCTTGTTTTGCTTATTTGGGCCTAGTGGGATCACATTAAGTGTAGTCTACTGTTCTAAGTAGTTAACCTTTTAGTTTCGGTGATTGGCATATGAGAAAGTCATCGTATATCTCATTTTGGAAGTATATGAAAGGAGATTTTAATAGGCCTTTGACAAATGAAAATGGCGCGAAGAATTTGGCGCGTCTAATAGGATCCTATTAAGTGTAGTCTACCGTTCTAAGTAGTTAACCTTTTAGTTTCGGTGATTGGCATATGAGAAAGTCATCGTATATCTCATTTTGGAAGTATATGAAAGGAGATTTTAATAGGCCTTGACATATGAAAATGGCGCGAAGAATTTGGCGCGCATAATAGGATCCTATTAAGTGTAGTCTACCGTTCTAAGTAGTTAACCTTTTAGTTTTGGTGATTGGTGTATGAGAAAGTCGTCTTTGCGTATATCTCATTTGGAAGTATATGAACGGAGATTTTAATAGGCCTTGACAAATGAAAATGGCGCGAAGAATTTGGTGCATCCCCTTTTTTGCAGCCTTTCATATAGAAATGT